ATCACAAGACATTTTTTTGGAAGAGAGACGCTCAGTTACTTTAAACAGGGACTGCAGTTTGAGCTCAGTGGAAAAGCAATAGTTTATACTAGATCTATATTTTTAAGCAATTCAATGTAAGAGTTTGGTAACATTGAGGGATGAGTTTAATTGTCTGTTATCTTTGCATTGCAAATTTTTTGCAACTTCAGTGTCATCTTTTTTCTTTTTTGTTGAGGGTGGGTGTTATTTATATCCTTTTGACCTCCTTACTTTGATAGTACCTATTCATTCTCCATACACTGGTGGTTGCAGCACGGAGTTTCTGAGTCTGAATGCACATTGGTAAGGTGGGGGTTTTTTTCAGTAGACATAATCTTACCTCTGCATACAGTCTTACCGCTGTCTACAACAAGGAGCTTTACATTTTTTCTAACAGTTTAATATACTGTGCACTCCTAGAGGGTGGAAGGTTATCTCCAAACAGTAATCTTTAATTGCAGTTTACTTATAGTTCCTCTCTTACAAATGTCACACAAATCTTACTCATATTTAATCTTAGTGAAGTGGAAATAAAAACTTCTGTAATGTTACAATAGATCGTACATGTTGTATAAATTTAGAAGTTACATGTATTAAAGTTTCTTGTATTAGGTAAATTGCTGTTAGCTTGTGTTTTTTTTTTTTAAATGTGCCCCTGCTGTTTTGAGTTTAGGTAGAGATGAGATTTAATTCACGTCAGCTGCTTGCTAGTTCAAAATGGTGATTATAAATTCTTATGTGCATGTTGTACAGATGCTGTTATTGATCTTCTATTTTGAGCATTACTGGGAAGAAAGTCTTGAGTGTCTGCATAGAAATTAAAAGGATAAGAAAATGTAAAATAGTTTTCTATCAGGAGGTGAAGGATAAACATAATAATATCTACATTACATTTACTTTATTGAAACAATTGTTTTTTCTGCTCATTGAGTGGTAAAGATACCCAGTTGTCAAAATAAAAAGAAACAACAACAACAAAAAATACAAAAGCTCAACACATATTTGTAAGGATGAAGTAATGCTATAAGCAGAGATTTGACTTGTTGAATGATTTAGATTTCAGGATAAAATATTTCTGGTCTGTGCATGTGTTACAGACATTAATTTCTTAGGATCAGCTGGAGAAATCCAACTCCAACCCCACTGAGCACCTAATATTATTGTCCAGTAAGAACCCAGAGAGGGGCTAGGAATGAGGTGATACTGTTGTTCATTCATGAGTGTCACACTGGATCCTGCAGAGCTTGAAGCCTCAGAATAGTGCTGTTGGGGGAGGTGTGGACATCTCTGCAGAACTCAAATCCAGTTTATGGATAAAGAGCTTCTCAGGGTGTAAAAGAATGTCTCCCCCATGCTTGAACATATGAATCGAGTGCTGTTTTGTTCCAGAACTGAAAAATAGACAGATTCTGCACAACTGGAGCAGCTTTTTTGTTCCTAAGTATTCTCTTTCTTACTTCCACAGGAAGTGTGATGTGAAATGGACATTATTTTTTTCAGCTCAGGGTTTTGGGTTTTTTTTAACTACATCAGTTTCACTGTGTTAGTCACTGGTTCTCTGTTACTTTTTAATCTTGTTTGAATTTTTTCCTTCTGGAACAAAAAAAGTGAAAGAGAGTAGCAGTAAACAGAATCACAACTTGTGGGAATGCATGTGGATAGATAAACTGTGTTGTTATGTCAGGGCCATTTCCTGGTGGTTTTATGTTTTACAAATAGGTGAGAAAAAAATTCCAATGTGTAGTACACATTTGCCCGGAGGGCAAGAGATAAACTGTAATCATTTTAATTCAAGGACAGTTCATAACAGACTTTCCTGTCACTCTTGATAAATTTTTTGCACTGTCAGAAGGACAGTCTGAATGGATGCAAACTTTCTTATCACCCAAGTCTGCCATTTTATGACACACGTGCTGCATAATTAGAGCTATATCCTCACAACACCAGTGAAATATCACCTTTAACGTGTCCATCCCAAAATAATAAACACTAGGTTTTATTTCTCTAGAATTACATTGCATCCAGTACATTTATTTTGTACAATGTAGAACAGGAATGATCTTTGTTGCACATGAGGCCTAAAGCAAAGAAGCCATTACCTGTGACTGGCTCTGCAGAAAATAAATGCATAAAATGTTTAGAATTTTACGCATGTTTTAAAATAACATTAAAATGCAATTTTGTTACTGTATTTTCTTCTTTATTGGGAATTTGACATTGGAAATTGTGAGTACATTTTATTAAGGTAAGGAAGTTTTTGTATATTATTTGGATAGTCTCCATGAGATTTATCCGTAGCTAATTGTGCAATATCCACATCAGTGGTCCATGGCTGTCTTTTTCCTCACCGATACAATGTTGGTTTCTAAGTTCCTGTATGATCAAAGGGACCCTTTGAGGAGGGGTATCATGGTAGAAAATAGAGAAAAAAAAATAAAAGGTTTTGTTGAAATAAGCCAATTGAAAAAGAAACCAATTTTTGTTCTTGGCATTTTAATATAGCTCTTATTAAGCAATGTGAAGCAGCCAAATATTATCACTTACCGTTATCTAATACTGTAATATAGGCCAATGTACTGTCACCTGTACAAGTTATCCAGTGCCACTGTGCTGAATGTCCTTATGGATATATCTTTCCTTTCCCTCCTGCCTGCAGCTATTAAACAGCTCCTTTTTTGTTTCTTTCTTTGCAAAGAAGTTTCTTTGGTTTATGTTGCATCAATCTATTCTGTAGCTGTTAATATTTTATTAAAAGATTACATATTGGATTCCAGGAGAGAATTCAACAGTATATTTAGCTATATGTAGGCAGAGCCTAATATTTACACAAATCCGTACTAAACTTGCAGAGGGGTGCTTGAATTTCAGGTTTAGTGCCCAGAACATGACTGTCTTTCCCTTGTTCCTTTAGATTCACAGTTTCATTTTGAGAACTTCTCTCTGCCTTGTTTTTCATATGTAAAGTAAGGTGATAATGTGAGTTCTTTCTCCTGTAAACTGTCTTTCTGGCTATGAATTTTGCATTGTCTTGTACAAATGTGGTTTATCAGTCTTTATTCTGAAATTTACAAGAGTAGTCACATGCTATACCCTGAAGGAGATGTTTGGGATCTGACAGTTACCAAACTTCAATTGTACCTTTCTACTTCTAGACTAATATTTTAAATCCTGATTATTTGGGGGAATTAATGTTTGTCTTACAATTTTTCTTTATTGGAGAAAATCAAAATGCTAAAATAGAAACTGAAGTGCAACACAGTATTGGGCTTTAGTAAATGCCTAGGTGTTTCGCTCTTGGAGAGAAAAATGATTCTATTTTTTTTTTCAAATAGGTTTGAAAGCTCTCTTTCATGGCTGTTTGCTGTTTTTAGAAGGAAGGCACTGAACTGAATTGTTGCATATGGATTTTTATGAATTTTGTATTACACAACTCTTAGCTACATTACCAGCAGTGGAAGTTAAAACACATTCTATGGTGGTTTTGCTTTCATTATTTACTGTTTACCACTGGACACATAAATGAGTTACTAGTTTGACAGAATAAAGAGGCACTGCCTTCAGTAATGACTTTCACTTTTTTTGCAATTAGCGTATGGTTTATACTCCTCAAAAATAGACTTTAAAATCAATAGTATTGATTTTAAAAATTTACTTTACTTTAAAATCAATAGTATTAGAACTGAAGTATTGAAAAGAAGTAGAAACAAAAGTCTCAAAAGGCTAAGAAGGATTGATTCAGTGGCACAACTAGAGGCATCTAGTTTAATTTCAGAAATACTCAGGTGTCCCTCCCACCTCTCCCTTCAGAATGTCACAGATCTTCCGTAACAACCCCTAGCAATGGCATAAGCTTTTTATTCATGCTCCAAAGTTAGCTCATAACATTTCAGCTACTGGTTATTTTGTGTATGTCCTGTGAGGATATAAAGGATAAAGATCAGTTTTTAAATGTATGCTTATGTCCTGTGTGTGTGTTGTAGTTACCTATAGATTGTAATTACAGTTAAAACTACAGTTGTTCAACTAGGTACTGAGTGAAATGCAGTTTTCAGGAAGCACTTTTAATTGTCATGTGACAAATTTTCACTGCCTAGTACTAGTAAAGGCACCATCAGTTGCACGTCCTGTAAAAAACTGAATAGAAAAAGGAGTCTGGAAGACTAGAAGAGATCTAACATTGTAGAAACTACAAACAGAAATATGAGAAGTAGAGGAAACCTTGGAATAAAGAGCATGAGTTAATAAATGCTTATAACTTTGGAAACCAAGCTACTTTTCCTCTTTTTTTGCAGCAAATGCTATTTCAGGATTGCTTCAGAGGATCTCAGTTCTTAAGGAAAATATTCACAAAGGGAAATATAATATATACAGGAGGGAAGTTACTTCTCAGTACCTTATTTACATTAAAAAATTGTCAGGAAGGAATTTACCAAACTTATGATTGTAGATGAATAATATCACCTATACAGAGATGCATATTTAAATCTAGACTGTGTGAAAGGTCAGAGCTAAAAGATACTCTGCAGAAGGTTTGGATTCAGAAGCTGTCATGTAGCAGCTAAAGTTAAATAATTCAGTCTCCTTCTGCACTGGAAGGCAAAGCATAATACTGAAAGATTACAATTCACTTATAATGATATCGCCACGTAAACCCTAGAGAGAAAGAAAAAGAATTTCATTCCAGACTAGTTCAAGTTTTTGTATTCTCTATTTCTTTTGTATTTAGGTGATAAGCTAGCAAACTAGCCATCTCTATCATTTATTATTGTTGTTGTTGTTGTTATAATCAATAATTATAATTATTGCTATTATTATTATTTCATTACATTGGCAAGAAAAAGAAGTAACAGTCAAAAAAATTTGGATGCTTCCATTCTGGGAAGCACAAAACTGATGGCAGAGAGCACTTTTGTTTTTCTGTGCCTTTGCTAGGGCAAGCTTTTCTCACCTTTTTCACTCTGGTTGTTGCACAGGTGGTTGACCAGATTGACACACTGACATCTGACCTGCAACTGGAGGATGAGATGACAGACAGTTCCAAAACAGACACGCTCAACAGCAGCTCTAGCAGCACAACAGCTTCCAGCTTGGAGAAGGTCAAGGTGCGAGGCGGCACACTGCTCATCAAGCCACCTGCACACCCCTCTGCTATCCTCACCGTGTTGCGGAAGCCAAATCCGCCTCCGCCTCCACCGCGACTGACACCTGTCAAGTGCGATGAGCCTCCAAGGCTGCCTCCTTCAGCCAACCCTGTCAAGACTAATGGCACCCTGCTAAGAAACGGGGGCTTGCCAGTTGGACCCAACCGCATCCCAAATGGAGATATGTGCTGTATACCAAACAGTAATTTGGAGAAAGTTGTAATGCAGCCTCTGATGCACAGACCTGAGAAAGAGCGGTGTCCTCAGCCGGGAGCAAGGGAACGGGTACGATTTAGTGAAAAAGTGCAGTACCATGGCTATTGCCCCGACTGTGATGTTCGGTATAACATTAAAAACAGGGAGGTGCACTTGCACAGTGAGCCTGTCTGTGTTATGGGAAAGGTGCCACACCTGTGCCCTCCTCTGCCACCTCCACCACCTCCGCTGCCTCCATTTCCTCTGGAAAATGGAGGGTTGGCGATAAGCCCCAGTAATAGCTTTCCTCCTCCAAGACCTGCGACTGTGCCTCCACAAACTGCACCAAAACCCCAGAAGACCATCTTGAGGAAATCAACTACTACAACAGTGTGATGTATGCCACTTGGAACAACTCTTTGTTTTTTCCTATATATAAACATAAATAGGTAATGAGCACTTTCTACTTGAGCAATAAAAAGACCCAATGTATTACTCCCTATGTCCAGTGAAGTGGCATAAAAATCACATGGTAAGTACAAAGAGGAATGCTTGATCATCTAACTTGTACTCAAAAAAAAAAGTCATAATGGCAAAAACTGCTGAAAAAATATTAATGCTTTAGCTCATAGGTTGTGAACGTGTATTGCAGTTTCATATCTGTAGAGTGGTTTAAAAGACAGTGAAAAGAAAGTTCAGTTTGAAAATACTGAGTGGTGATTTGTGATAAATGTTGGTCTATCTGACGTAAGGGAGTACCTATTGCTCCTGGGTTTTGAGAAACTTCCTGTTTCTAGCAAGTACCTTTTAAAATGTAATTTGATGAAGTGGAGTACCAGGTAACAGCTTTTGACTGAACTCTAGCAAATGTGTTTGTCTGACTGCTTGAGTGAAAGCATTGGGTGTGGAGCAGTGTAATAGGAGGTAATCATTGAACTTTCAGACAGTTTAATCTTTGGAGGGGAAGTAAAGAAATAATTGAAAGCTATATTGACATGGCTTTGGAATACGGAATAATCTCACATTTTGTTTCTCACTTGTTCAGTGTGCCACAGCCAAGGTGAAGTACAGAGTTTTCAGATGAGCAGGGATAGTTGCATTCAGTTCCCCCTATTTCCACTGCTCCATCTGCAAAATGGTAGTAATATTTTATGTCACGTGTAGATTAAAACAACAAAGCCCACAAAGCTTTGTCTGGTGCAAATCTCTTTTTGAAGGCAAAGAAAATCTTGCCTAAGGTCTACAGGGACATCCACTTAATTCATGTAAAGAGCTTTGAAGTTGAAAAGCTCTGTGCAATTACAAAGCATTAACATGCGAAACAAGATATTTTACATGTTATCACTATTTGATGGTGAATCCAATTAATATTCTTAATAGTTGAAAAAAATTTCTCGATGTTTTTAATTATTTTATGAAAGAACATTCTTTTATTCTCACAAAGAGAATTGTTGGGAGCTAGAGTTAAAAAACATTCTATCGGTGAAAAAAATCTGATAATAAATCTGTTATTTACAAAAGTTGTGCCAAATTAATCTCAAATGGCCCAATAGCAGATGCTATATAAAAGGAGTATGTTTTCAGCTGAAATGTAAAATGTACTCTATGGTAAAACAGACAAAACTAGACAAAACAGTTGTTTAATTTAAATTTGAATTTACATGCAGTAATAGGTATTAGACTGAAACCCCAAACTTCAGGAAGTTTCCCTGTATACACATTATAGTACACTTACAGTATTTAAGAACAATTATAACAAAAATTCTAGCATATAACTACCCTTTGAAAACCTTTGCAGTAAACAAAGATTGTATTTTATGGAAATACATATTTAGAGTCTAAAGCTTCTCGTTGTATTCCCTGCATAAAATTGGCAAAGCAAGGAAATAATTTCAAATGCTCAACCATGTTTTCCCCAAATGCTCTCCTTGTGCTTTTCATTATGCACTCTACATTTTGTATTGTTTTACTCAATCTCACAAGAGCTGTTGCTAGGTGAAGTCCTAGTGCTTGCAGCAGAAGGCAGTAACTTGTTCTACATGTATGCAAGATCTTTGCTGCCCACGTGAAGTTTCTCTGAAGTGGATTCTGCTCACGCTGTGGAACTCCACAGCACCTCCCTTGCTCACACATTGAAAACTACATTTAAAATCACTGGAGCAATGTGTGGACAGATCCATATTGCTTTATCTACAGGTTTTTGTTTTAAAATTAAAACTTGTTCTGTCTTCTTGACTTTTTCTCTACTGCGGAGATCATATATCAACTGTTATAAGCTAGTTTAATATTTTTCCCTTCTTAAAAGAGCTTCGGTGTACAAGAAATTAGATAATGTGACTCAAACTTTGCACATTTTATATGAAATATTTCTATTTCATCTTAAGTTAGAGAAAATAATACTGAATAATTTTAGCGGGGGGGAACTGGGGGGCAGTCTGCTGCACATGTCTTACCTCACTTGGCTCAATTTTTCCAGTATAAACTCACCTCTGATAGCACAACACAGTATTTCTCCTTTGGATTCTGTCCCTGGGTTTTTCAGTCTCATGTACCTCCAAGTTCCTGTTCATAAAAATACTATGGATATGCATTGATATACATGTAAATTTCACTGTTGTTTCAGTGTTAGGTTTACACTTCTCAGCTCTGGAAAGTTTAAGTGGTGTGTGACTTTCAGCATTTCCTGTGCAGTTTTGGTATCCACCATCTTCCATCTTGCAATGTCCTCTCCTTCAGAGGTGCTTTCTTGTCTCTTTACCCAGGCAGCCTGAGTACCCTTTCACAAACCACTGCGCCTTGTGCATTTTCATGGGGGAAAAATTATTGTGCTATAAAAATGCAGCTTTTCAAATGGAGTGCTGCTTTTGGCCAGAAATGCAGTTTCCAAATGTGAAAGAAATATGTTGTTTTTCTGCAAAGTTTGCTAACCCAGGCTCTCTTAATGCACCGGATTATTCCAGGGTCTCTGTTAACTCATGCCATGAACGTTGAATCAATTATTCTGTTTTAATGAGAACATCTCTGGCCTTTGTTCTGTTGTAAGGTATTTTTATCAGTATAACAACTTCACATTATGAAGATGATGGAATAAAATTCAGGTTAAAACAGGTAATCTTGCAAAGTATGGGAAAATGCTAACTGTGAGATTTGCAGCGTTGTCTGGAAACTTCTTTTAAAAATGGCGTAAGAAAGAATTCAGCTAGTAGCATTTTTTACATTCATATTAGGAATCTGATCTCCGTGAAGCATTCTTGAACACCTATAAGATAACATATTTCATATCTTACTGAGGAAGACAGAATAAACTAACCAGAACTGGACAAGAATTGTCTGCTTTTGAAACATAGTGTCTTTGAGATTATATTTAATGTTTTGCAAAGATGTTAATACCCGAAAAACTGAAAGGCCAGTAACAGTACTCAGAGCTTTAATTGATCATTTGCCATCATTTCAGAGTACTGCTCAATTTTCATTTCCCAAAGGTATTTAATGTCTGAATTGTCCAGATACAGACTTCTCAAATGCAAATAGAAGGAGGAGGTGGTTCTATCAATTTAATGAAGGGGATGAGCTTAGGAAAATGGAAATAAGCAATTAAAATTGCTTAATTTGTAATTATGGCATTGATTAATAAAAGCTAGCACATGGATGTTTTATAAGAAAAGAACACTAGGAGAGTAAAATCTAGTAACAATCCTTTTGAAGGACATAAGGTATGAATCTTCAAAAAGATTGTGGATCTTTTTATCACCTAGTAAAAGTCTCTGTTCTTCCTTCTCCCTTGTCTTCTGGGGTTGTTACATATTTCATCACATTGTCCATTGTTCACAGAAACAAGAAAAGATTCAAAATCTGCATCTTCCTTTTTTATTATTAAATCAATATTTTATTTCAAATGTTACATGAATTAAGTGAAGTAGACTACAGCTCTAGTTAACTTCCTTCAGATAACCTGATTGTTGGTTTTGAAGCAAACAAAGTGCAGTGTGAATTATTTAATTACCAGGGGGAGTTGTGTATGCCCTTTGGACCTGCTCAGATCTCTTTGCTTGCATGTTTTAACTACCGCTCTCCTTTCAGTGATACTATGAACAGTAATTTTACATATGGAGATAAAATCGTGCTATGGTTGCTACATCACTTGTCTGACTTACTCTTAAAGGAGGGATGAGTATCGGGCACATATTTTTACAGAGGCAACATTTCTCATTCCTGGTTTGAATATATGCTGTGATCCATGCTTCTTCAGAGGGCATGTGTGTGTATAAAAGCAAAATACTTATCCACTGTTCAAACTAGTATTAATAATGAAAGCATCAGGCTTAGAGCTGCAGTAAAGTCTTGTGAGATGTGCACAAAGGCATGCAGTAGAAGAAATGTGTATGGTAAACCATGGGAAGCACAAACATTTAGAATACTTAATCTGAAAAATACTTGGCTTCTATTGAATAACCACATTGTATTTTGTAAGGCACTGTGTGATACATAGCATGCAATACTTACACTCTGCAGCCTAGTGTTTCTCAATCTATTAGCACAGGCTATGCAGTTTGTAACTGAAGCAGCAGCGGCAGTGCCAGTCTTACTGGCTCAGCATACTGCAACGCAGTGCATACAAACTGCACTTCAGCCTCGTCTTTGTTTGGTAGCAGTTACATGGTGATGATGATCTTAAAATGGGAAAAACTAGCAGGGATTTTATCTCACTGGCCTGTTCTGTGGTGGAGAAGAGCCCAAGAGAGCAATCTTCTCTTTCAATAATAATTTTGACAAGGTATCTGTATTAGTCCATCTTGGGATAGCTCTGGGGAGCACGTGCAAGCTAACTTTCCTTCTTGATCTTAAATGATTTGACATCTGGCTACCTTATGTTGGTCGAAGACTCTCTTGTTAGCTGAGACTGGAGCTGCTGGGCTAAATGGACTTGACCGGCTATCCTGCTGCAGGAGAGTGGCCCATGATCTTGTAAACCTGTGCAAGCCTGCTACTCTTCTCTGTTCTTCTCATTTGTTCATGTATGGCAAAGTCCTTATGTTACTACATGGTTGGAGGGTTTTGTTAAGAAATTGCTCCATGGACAGTATCCATCAGCTGGGCTACATTATTTCAGTGATGTAAGCAGGTGGAACCATAACTGTATTCAAGCTGCCCAGTCTTTTGTGATGTTGAACCTTTCGAAATTTTGAGGCAGAGTTCTCTCATTGTTGAGATAGTAAGTCTCCTGTCAGGTAAGGTGAGAATCTCTCATGCAGGTATGATCAAGAGGAAGTAGAACATTTGTATTTTGCAGGGCTGTTTTTGTTATTGCAGGACTATATATTTTTTGTGGTGTGAAAATGTTTTTTATAGTTAGATGAGAAAAAAATTCAGGTCTGATCTAGTAAAAGAAGTAGAACATAAATTGCAGCTGATAGCCAGCCAACAGCAGTGCTTTGAATGAGTTAACACCAGGACCATTCTGCTGCCTTGTTTGGGGAAGAAACTGCTCTGTCTTCTCAAGAGATTAGGTTTTTTCTTTCATCCTGA